GATGCTGCTGCTGCTGCTGCTGCTGCCTGGGCGTTTAACCATTATTATATATTGGCCTCATGCTAGTCATTCGTTTGATTTTTTTTTTTTGTTCTTTGCTGTTACTCCCCGAGTAGGCCGCAGCGCAGCCGCAGCCTCTGCAATTTATTCAGCAGTCTTGTGGGTTGCCTGCATCGCCGTTGCAGTTGCCAAGACATTGATCTAATAAATGTTGCCAGTGGAAGTCTTTTTCTAGCTTTTTGTTTGCTTTGTTTCGTTTCGTTTTTTTTTTGCCTGCAACTCAAATTGCCTTTTGCGTAGTCGTTGTCGGGGTTTGATCCACTAAACCAATAATGCCACAGACCTGACCCACTTTCCGCACCATCCCAGCCCACCCCACACTCCACACCCCACACCGCACTCCCACCAAATGGCCGCTTGCTTGCTGCTTGTTATGCGATTTCTGTGGTAATTATAGGAATAGAAAGATGTCTATGGCAACAGCAAACAACAACAAAAAGTTGTCCAAAACCTACACACAAGCAATTTGCAAAGGAAATTTTTGTTTCGTGTATTTTGACTCCACAAATTGGAAATTGAAGAGAGCGCCGCGGTACGCAAGGGGGCGATAGATAATTGGGCGAGATATGGGTTAGTTTGGGTGATACTTCCCTTCCCACACATGCCAACAGCTGTACCGCTGAGCGCGCTGAGGGGGGAATTGATTAAACCAAATCGATCTCCATTACGTGCATGATTATTGATTGCTGTGTTGTTGGCAATCTTTGAACTGCTTTTGCCGAGAGAAATTAAAGAATTTCCTATTAATGTTAATGATTATTATTGGTGCTGCATTAATGTGCAAAAAAAATCACTTAAACTTTGGGAAATCTGCATTCATTTAATACTCAAACTATTCCACTTTTCCACTCCATAAATACTTCGCCAGCGATAGAGTTCTTTATGGAGAAGTCCATTTATATTTGCATGCTTGAAAGGTTTTTTGCAGAAAAGCAATGAAGAAATGGCACAGCAGTTGGTCTATTAATGCTAATGATTATTTTAATTATTATTGCTGAATGTGTGAAGTTAAAAATATTATAAAATATTAGTATTATTAATTATTATTATAATATAAATATTACTTTAATAATATTTTAATTTAATATTAATTATATTCATAATATAATATATTATTTTAATATTAATTAATTATATTAAAAATGGTAGAAAGCTTCAACTTTGAGGCGCTATATCTTCAGTTGTATTCATTCTTACAACACGAATCAAAATCCTGTGAAAGGTTGTACAATTTAATCCCTGAAGGTTTTGAGCAAAAATTATGAAAGTGCAAAACAGTCAGCAAGGTGCGGTTTTTGAATTTATAAAAAAAATGTTGGGGTCTTATGGCAAATTCTAAGTATGAGGAAGTGATCTACTTAGCTCGGCCTACAACCCCAATTTTTGTCTCGTGCAAGGTACAAAATGACTGCCGCACAGTGTTGTTATTGGTGCAGCATTACTGTGGAGAAAATCATTTACAGGCAGCCATGGACTCCTTCCTCTTCGTCTGCCTTTAATTTGATAGTCAAAACTTTTTCACTTAAAAATCCATCGATGGAGTATAGTGCAGAAAAGCAATGAAGAAATGGCCCAGCAGATTATCTGCTAATTCTAATGATTATTTTAATTATTATTGCTCCATGAATGTGCCATGCCATGCCATGCCATTTGCCAGTTCAATTACTGAATAGAGTTAACACATTTAGGGCCATCCCTTGACAGTCAAATGAAGCAAAGGCGCTGTAGGACGACTCTCCTCTGAGCGCACTCTCCGGCGTAATATGAGCATCAAAGGTGGTTGGCTAATAAAGCCCAAATCACCCATTGAGCCACTGAGCCAGGCTATGTTCTTTTTTTACTTCCGAATACACAGCCGCAGCCTCAGTTGCAGTCTTCTTTTTTAGCCAGCCAGCCAGCCAGCCAGAAGTAAATGTTTTTTTTCTTCGTTTTATATCTTTGAATTATGAATGCCCGTGGCGACGGTAGCCATGTAGATATTTGTGGCGGCCTTAACTGCCGATTTATGGCCCAACTTAGCGTGGAGCGTGGAGTGTGGAGTGTGGAGTGGATTGAAGTCAACTGACTAACCAGAGAGGGGGTGTTAGGGAGGAACACACAAACTGCGTCGTGAGTTAAGTATGCCAAGTTGGCGATCTATTAGAAGATATGCTAAAAGCCCCGCGCCAAAGTGAGTGGCTCTTGCCACTCGGCCACTCGGTGGAGAGTCGTCTGCCAGTTGCAAGCCGCATCCCCCACAGCTCTTGGCTCTCTGGCTCTGACTCTGACTCTGACTCTCTGGCCAAACACTTCTTCTGTTAATGACACTCGTCTTGCAGCAGCTCCTTGGCCAGTGTTAATTTGCGGTCATTAGCCAGGTTCGGTTCTCTGCTTGGAGACGGACTCCACTCCACTCCTCGGCACTCCTCGGCACTCCAGCTGCGGACCGGACGGACTCCTTCGCTGCGTTCAATCAATTTGCGTCTGGCTTTTGGATTCTTTTCACTCGCGCAACGCGGCAAGAGGCAAAAGGCAAAAGGCAGCCAGGCCAGAGGCAGGTAAAAGGCTTTCCCACACACTCGCACACTCACACACAATGGATTGTTAGCTCACAATAGGCTTTTGTTAACGGTTAAATTACACTTGATGCTGGCTTTTAGGCTAATGATGCGTATGGGAATCGAGAAAGGATAGAAGGGGGAGCGAGACAGAGACAGAGACTGAATACAAATGCTAATTCATTTGCACTTGGCCTCCGCTTTAGCTGATTTATTTATGCAAAAATGATGCCAATGCGGCTTCGACTTCGACTTCAGTTGAAGTTGAAGGCGCAGACATAACAATAAATTATGAGCACAAAAGTGAATGTTAACAATGGCGGGGAAATGGGTCAGAGCTCCAGCGATCCAGGTAGCACACAAAAGGGACGCAGTGCAGGTGCCCCGCCGACACTATCGGGCAAATTGCAATATAACCCAATGATATATGCATTAAGTGAGTCTTTAGTAGCCGCTAAAGAGGCTGGGACACACCTCTGCCCCCAACCCCACAAGCAAACCCAATCAAAGGCTGCACCTCCACCGATTTCTGTGGCTGTGGCTGTGGCATTGCTAACCCAATTTCCTCGATCTCGATGTTTGGGGGCTGTGTGCAAGGGAATCTGCGTGCGATTCGAATTTCCTTTTCCTTCAGTTGGCCACTGGCAAACACCTGCCGAGCGGGGCCAACAAATTTCACTTATTGCCAATTTGCTGGCAATGAAATAAAATACTTCTCTTCCTTTTGCTGCAACAGTTTGTGCCGATAGGCCAAAAACCTGACCAGAATGGACACCAACGCGGACACCAGCACAGAGCCAGCACACAGACAGCACAGCCAGCAGACAGCAGTCAGCAGCCAGCTCTAAAGCTCATGGAAAGTATAGGAAGGGGGTACGGTACGGCAGCCAACTGCAGCCGTCGACTGTGCAATAAATAAATTGCGAAATTTATTTGGCGGCACTTACGCGTCGCTTTTTTTTCATCGACTGCATTTTCCATGGTGATTTATTTGCATCGATCGGCGGGACGCGGAACGCTGAACGCAGATCGGGCAGATGATCCAGCCGAGGTAAATAGATGGCTACAAAATATTAATAAAAAATAATAAAATATTCTAGGTTATGGCCAGAGCCCGAGCCAGTGCCAGAGATGATAGAGCACCCAAGGCGGCAGTGAAGTGATCGGTTAACAGGTGGAAAAGATGATTGCAAGTGACGCTGCAGAGTCCACAAATATATGGGCCAGGTATGGTGAGGCGTCAATTGGAACGGTTTGCCACTTCCAAGTGAGTAGAAACTAAAGTTCTATAAAGGAAAAGGAATAAGGAATTTAAGCAGAAGCGCAGCTTATATATAAATATTTAAAATCTGCTACGATATTCAACATTTTCTACACACAAATTTAGTTGTTCTCTCTGGTTTAAGGAACTGCTCGCTTAAAGGAATTCTTGAAGTATTAAAACCTATACGCATAGTGTACACAGTCACTGTTTTCCATCCACTGCGGAAAGTCACTGCTTCAGTTGTGGCTGCAGTTGCCAGCTGCGGTGCAGCATCTCAATCTTTCAATGGCGAATCAACTCGGAACAGCTTCCAGCTGCTTTTCCGCGAATCTCTCTCGGTGTGTGCCGCCTATACCTGTGCCTCTGCCTGAGCTTGTGCCTGTGCTGTGTGCGTCTGTCTCCCACCATGACGCGTCGGCCTTTCGGCCATTTTCAATTGATTTTCAAATTTATCAAACAGGAAGCATCTCTGGCGGAGAGAACTCGTTGGCTTTGGCTTTGGCTCTGGCGCGCGCTGCGTGTCCATTTAACGGCATTTTACGGCGCAGATCGCCCGACTGAAAGGAATGGGCAAGTGGCCAATGCCAACTGTCCACCAGCTGGCCACATTGCAGGCAATGGACAGTGGACACTGGACACTGAATAGCAGACAGCGGACAGCAGCCAAAAGTGTTTTCTGTCTCCACTGATCGATGTGTCGAGTTTCGTGCTTCGATTCAGACTGCAGCCTGCTGCCGGACAATTTGTCAATTGCTCGCCCCGCTCCACTTGGCTAATTTAACTGCGGTTTTAATTAGCCTGCTCGCTTTAAGCCGCTGGGTGGGAGACGAGTGAACGATATTAATTGGTCTGCTTTTAAGCAACGACTTCAGTGGCCAAGTGTCAGTTGACAGCAGCCAAGTTGATGGTGCTGCTGGCACCAGGGGTAGGGGAGAATGATTTGTAAGGCAAGGCTCACGTTGTCATTCCAGAATTCGTCTTGCCTCATCGACAACAATGTCAAAACTGTCAAAAAATACTGCTCCGCTCTACGATTGTTCGTTTCAACATTCCAAGAGAGGAAATATGGAAATATGTCTTCCTTTGTCCCTAGCTTGCCCCCAATAATAACACCCTGCCCACAAAAAGAAATGTTCAGATTTGTTGGGCTATTGGGCTTAAGCCATTTTATTTATTGCCGTCTCAGTCTCAAATTGGTGTTAGTGGTTCACGTTCGGTAGATGTTAGTCGCAGATCCTTCGCCTTGGTTAGCACCATCCGCAGGGGCCACAGCAACCTCCGCAGGGGCCGCAGCAGGGGCCACAGGCTCCACAGGGACCACAGCAGGGTCCACAGCCGCCACAGGGTCCGCAGCAGGGTCCGCAAGGCCCGCAGCAACCTCCGCAGGGTCCACAGCAAGAGCCACAGGGTCCACAGCAAGGTCCGCACATGTTTGAGCAGTTGAGTTTCTGGAAATATTGCAACCAAAATTTGTTTAATTTTTAAATTTATTTTCGAATTTTGTACGATTTTTTTTTACCTGGAACCGAACAAAAACTGAGAAATTGAGACGAACAAAAATTTTACTACACAAAATATTTGGAGATGTTTCTAGCCGGAATGGTGCTGTGCGAATGAAATAAATGGGAAGGGAGAAATAGAGAATGGATTGGACAGCAGCCCAAACACATTTCACAGATGACTTGATGACTTTATTTCTGGGTTACATTTTCCATATTCAGCCCATCACATTAACCAAGCAATACAATTCTTTCATTCCTTTATTCTCTTATATTTTCAGTTATTCCTCACACTCCGCTCCGAGCAGTACAGAACAACAAATTTTTGTTTAGCTTCGAGTTTTGTTTGGTTTCAGGTAACTACTTTCACACTTCTTCTAAATATAATAAACTAATGCTATTTTTCTTTTATTATTTTCCAGTACTTTTACGGATCAAAAATGTGTGGACCCTGTGGATCGTGCTGCAGTCCCTGCTGTGCTCCCTGTGGACCGTGCTGCGGGCCGTGCTGTGGACCGTGCTGTGGACCCTGCTATGGACCCAATGTCTACGGACCGTGCTGCGCAACAGGACCCTGCTTCGGGTGCTGCGGTGGCTGTTGCTAAGCACACGACAGGGTTTAAGCCTTCCATCACAAGTCCGGTGAAGCCTGCACAAATCTCGAAGCTATCGTGTAGTCCTTGTGAATAAAATATTTATAAAACATAAATAGTATAATATATAAATAAAATACTTATAAAACATAAATAATATAATATATAAATAAAATATTTATAAAACATAAATAGTATAATATATAAATAAAATATTTATAAAACATAAATAGTATAATATATAAATAAAATATTTATAAAACATAAATAATATAATATATAAATAAAATATTCATAAAACATAAATACAAATAAATAAAATATTTACAATTAAAACTTTTCACAAATCTTATTCATTGGGTGGTTTTCGGCGGAATGGGAAAAATATCCTTGATCCTTGATCCTTGATAAGGACTCCATAAAATCAAGGACTTTATCCCGATCAATAGAAGGCGTCGCACGCCCAGATCGGATGAGAAATGGCGGAGTTATAGCGGCTAAAAGGCAATATCCTTATTGTCCTTGAGGCCAAACGATGAGGGAAATCCTACGGACTACGAGGACACGGATCACATCCAGATCGGATGAGAAATGGCGAAGAAGAGGACGAATTTATGACTACGGACATTATCCTTGATCCTTCGTCCTTTAAAAGGACTCCATAAAATCGAGAATTTTCTTCCGGTCACGAGGACACAAAGAACGTCCTGATCGGACGAGAACTGACAGAGCTATTGCGATTTCAATATTGCTAAAATGAATTATTCGAAATCCGCAAATTTGAATTTCGCGCCCTCAGTTTTGCATCAGCCAGCTTTTGACATGATGTAAAAAAGAAAAACCAGCTACCTTCTGCTGACTTCTGTTCGCCTGGTACTCGGTCTGAAAATTTTCTGGTTTTCGGCCATTTGAGCCTAACAATTCCAAAAGGTTAGTTCCAGAATTGACCGTCGTTGTCGTGGGGGCGCCAGTGTGCAAAAACGTCGTTTGCACAGTAGCGCCCCCAATGGGAATGGCGATTTCTTGAACTAACATACTTTAGTTCCAACGTTGGCCGTCGTTGCTGCTGGGGGCGCTACTGTGCAAACGACGTTTTTGCACACTGGCGCCCCCACGACAACGACGGTCAATTCTGGAACTAACTTTTTGAAATTGTTAGGCTCAAATGGCCGAAAACCAGAAAATTTTCAGACCGAGTACCAGGCGAACAGAAGTCAGCAGAAGGTAGCTGGTTTTTCTTTTTTACATCATGTCAAAAGCTGGCTGATGCAAAACTGAGGGCGCGAAATTCAAATTTGCGGATTAATAATTCATTTTAGCAATATTGAAATCGCAATAGCTCTGTCAGTTCTCGTCCGATCAGGACGTTCTTTGTGTCCTCGTGACCGGAAGAAAATTCTCGATTTTATGGAGTCCTTTTAAAGGACGAAGGATCAAGGATAATGTCCGTAGTCATAAATTCGTCCTCTTCTTCGCCATTTCTCATCCGATCTGGATGTGATCCGTGTCCTCGTAGTCCGTAGGATTTCCCTCATCGTTTGGCCTCAAGGACAATAAGGATATTGCCTTTTAGCCGCTATAACTCCGCCATTTCTCATCCGATCTGGGCGTGCGACGCCTTCTATTGATCGGGATAAAGTCCTTGATTTTATGGAGTCCTTATCAAGGATCAAGGATCAAGGATATTTTTCCCATTCCGCCGAAAACCACCCAATGAATAAGATTTGTGAAAAGTTTTAATTGTAAATATTTTATTTATTTGTATTTATGTTTTATGAATATTTTATTTATATATTATATTATTTATGTTTTATAAATATTTTATTTATATATTATACTATTTATGTTTTATAAATATTTTATTTATATATTATATATTTATGTTTTATAAATATTTTATTTATATATTATATTATTTATGTTTTATAAATATTTTATTTATATATTATACTATTTATGTTTTATAAATATTTTATTCACAAGGACTACACGATAGCTTCGAGATTTGTGCAGGCTTCACCGGACTTGTGATGGAAGGCTTAAACCCTGTCGTGTGCTTAGCAACAGCCACCGCAGCACCCGAAGCAGGGTCCTGTTGCGCAGCACGGTCCGTAGACATTGGGTCCATAGCAGGGTCCACAGCACGGTCCACAGCACGGCCCGCAGCAAGGTCCACAGGGTCCACAGCAGGGACTGCAGCACGATCCACAGGGTCCACACATTTTTGATCCGTAAAAGTACTGGAAAATAATAAAAGAAAAATAGCATTAGTTTATTATATTTAGAAGAAGTGTGAAAGTAGTTACCTGAAACCAAACAAAACTCGAAGCTAAACAAAAATTTGTTGTTCTGTACTGCTCGGAGCGGAGTGTGAGGAATAACTGAAAATATAAGAGAATAAAGGAATGAAAGAATTGTATTGCTTGGTTAATGTGATGGGCTGAATATGGAAAATGTAACCCAGAAATAAAGTCATCAAGTCATCTGTGAAATGTGTTTGGGCTGATGTCCAATCCATTCTCTATTTCTCCCTTCCCATTTATTTCATTCGCACAGCACCATTCCGGCTAGAAACATCTCCAAATATTTTGTGTAGTCAAATTTTTGTTCGTCTCAATTTCTCAGTTTTTGTTCGGTTCCAGGTAAAAAAAAATCGTACAAAATTCAAAAATAAATTTAAAAATTAAACAAATTTTGGTTGCAATATTTCCAGAAACTCAACTGCTCAAACATGTGCGGACCTTGCTGTGGACCCTGTGGCTCTTGCTGTGGACCCTGCGGAGGTTGCTGCGGGCCTTGCGGACCCTGCTGCGGACCCTGTGGCGGCTGTGGACCCTGCTGTGGTCCCTGTGGATCCTGTGGCCCCTGCTGCGGCCCCTGCGGAGGTTGCTGTGGCCCCTGCGGATGGTGCTAACCAAGGCGAAGGATCTGCGACTAACATCTACCGAACGTGAACCACTAACATCAATTTGAGACTGAGACGGCAATAAAAATGGCTTAAAACCAATGGCCAAACAAACACGAAGCTTTCTGATTGTGGGCAGGGTAGTATTATTGGGGTTTGGCTAGTTGTTGTAAAGGTGTACGGAAGGTCCTTAAGTCGCATATTGATATATTGGAATGATGGAAAAATCGTGGAAAAATATTTTTTGACAACTGTTTACGTTTGAAACAAATGATTTATACTTGTTTTTAAATCTTTTTCGTGTCCAACATCTTTTCCGCTGTGTACTCGAATTCCAGTGAACATTTTGAGCGCCTCCTATGAGAAAATCGATGAGCTCTCAGCGCAAATTTATGGCAAACAGATGCCATAAACGCCGTAAGCAAACGGTGTCGCGTGGCATAAATTTTAAACTGCAGTCTCTTTGGTTTTTGGTACAGATGGCGCTGCTAGTCATACCACTAAGTCGAGGATGATAAATCAGTGTGCCGCCCATTTAATAGTTAAATATCTAAGATCTTAGCTGGCATACAAAAAAAAAAAATGTGAAATGCAACCAATAAATAATATTTTTACCAGCAGTGCTTAGCATTTGAGCTGTCATAAAATACATATTTATTTAATTAATTCAAAACAATTGTCAAAATTCAATTAAAATTCCGAGCATATACAAGAAGTCTGTACTCTTCCGGTAACCCCGCATAACAAACTGAGGAACAGCTCTTGGCAATCACATGGCGCTCTACAGACAGACAGACAGACAGACAGACAGACACTAATCTAAACGGACCAACTACGCGTAGAACAGCCATCGGGCAGGCATTGGGCCTGCCGCCGAACCAGCACCGCAAAACTGACATGCAAATTAAAAAGCATATGCTTTGACTCCTAATCACAAAGCACTTTCATTGGGGCTCGCTCATACCATGCCATGCCAGCAAGGCATGGCTCCCTCCCCTGCCCACTTGATGGGTGGCTTTTCTTCCGCCCGTCAGACGTCGCTGCCGTCACTGCCGTCGCCTTGTCCGCGCTCACATCCGCGTCCTGCCTCTGCCACTGCCTGACGTTGACATTGATGTTGGCTGTTAGCTGTTAGCTGTTAGCTGTTGCCTGTTTTGTTGCCTGTTCGCTGTTGGTTGTTGCTTTTGGTCGATGTGAGTGGTTGGCATTCGGCGCGTGATGGATTTTTGCAGCACTACGAGGCGGAATCCACCCCACAAAATGATTAATGACTTTTCAAGTGACTTGCAACAACGCACACACACACAACGTGCCTCAGCCAGGATCAAATGCTGTGGCTACACTGCGCGGAGAACCTTTTCAGAGCGGAAGCTTGCTCCAGCCTTAAGTCTTGGGGCTTTTTCTCAGTGTATCCATCTATGCCCCACAGTGGGCGTCTCCGCTCAGTCGAGAGCCACAAATTAGTCCCAGCAAACGAGGCTGAGACCCAACGCTGACTCTGACTCGGAGTCGAGTACTCCCTCTACTCCCTCTACTCATCTATCCATCTCCTCTCGTAGCTCGTCCATCTTTGACATCACTCTGGTTGAGTGATGGGATGCGTGTGTGGGGTCGTCGTAGTCGTCGTCATTGGAATTAATGATTTAAATGACTTGAAGCTGGCTGGCTGGATGGCTGGCTGGCTGGGTGAGAGCTGAGCTGAGCAACTCCCCTGCTGGCCTGTTGTCATGTCATTAACCAACACTCTGCTGTGCCATTTTCACCTGCAGCTGCAGTCATTTTTCAACACTGAGCGACTGGGAATGGCATCGTTAATTGCAGACAAACGTCAAAAGTCGTCTGTCAGCTGCGCCAAAGCATCAAGCAGGAAGCATCAAGCAACAGACTTCAGCTCCGCTCCACGTTCACATTCACATCGCCCGTCCAGTCCATGTCAGAAGCTGTCAAGCTCACAAAAGTATACATCACGAGGCCCCCAGTTGCAGCCCCCCAGTCTCAGTCTCAGTCCCAGTCTCTCAGCTACAGTTGGAGGCAACAGCCAGCGTTCGAGGCGTAGTCCGTGGTGGAGTGGAGTGGAGTCCAGTCCAGTCCAGGCATGGTCATGGTCGATAGTTGGCTGTTGCTTTTGCTGTTGCAAAAGATTGATGTGTGCTGTACGGCGGCAGGCAAAACGGAAAATAAATGATGTTGGTGATTATTTTTCTTCATTGAGCGGGCTGCCTGTGCCTCGCTGTCTGTGCCTCGCTGCCTTGCTGCCTGCCTCGACGTTGTTTCAACAGCCATTTTGGCCATCAATCTCGGGGAAGCATCGCATCAGGCAGCGCAGAGCCAGAGCAGACGCTGTGGGTGGACCGAGGCATAGATACACATTCCCCTCATTCATTCCATTCATTCATTCATACGCAGCACATTTCGGCAATCTATCAAGTTGGCCTGGGCTCGAATGGGGGGGGGGGTCACAGGACTAGGCAGTAGAGCTGCAAGGGCGTAGAGCATAGGCCATAAGTATCTAAGTTGATATGAAGGATTATGTCTAACGAAAGAAAGCTAAGCTACACGGGGAGAGAGAGAGAGAGAGGGAGGGAGAGACAGAGAGAGAGAGAGAGAGAGAGAAAGCAGTAAATCTTTTAAACAGAAATTGTAACCATTTAGCCCTAAAATTGATATCCCCAGCACAAGTCTTTGATTTATTTTAGCCCCGTTTTTATCTACTGCAGAACGAACTAGTTCCGATATGCGTTGCTCAGTTCATTTTCAGCCTGTCAGGGGCAGTATTTATTCGGCTTACTCCTTGGATATTCCCACTCTCCCCTCCCAGTTGGCCGGAACATTACCGCAATAACGCCCACAGCTTGGTGAGCATCTGCAGCGCTGCTGCTCGAATGGATTTTCGGGTGAAAAAGTGCAATATCATCAATTACTCGACAAATTTAGTGCCACAAGATGGCAATGGCAGCAGCAGCAGCAGGGGACAAGGGGCAGGAGTAGCAGCAGGGGACAAGGGGCAGCAGCAGCAGCAGGGGACAAGGAACAAGGGGCAGTGGCAGTGGCACGGGTAGGGCAGCAGTATTGGTGTCGTCGTCGGAAGCTGAGTGAAGGAGAGGAAAACTCTGGAGAGCAGAGGTCGGAAAAACGAAAATGTCCGGATGCAAACAATAAAATACATTTTCCGGTTACTTGTCACCCACTTTTCTATCGCCCATACCGCCCTCCCGCTACTGCCATCGCCATGACTTGGACTTGGACTTGAAGTTGGACTTCCACTTGGACTTGGAGTCTGACCCGTCGCCGTCGCCGCCGCCACCGCCGCAACGTAAAATCCCTCCACAGTTGACACATGCTGGGGGGCGGGCAGGCATCAGGGTTCTACGAGTTCTCGAGCCTCTCTTGGGGAAACTCCTCGGCAATTGCCAACAAAGCATTTCACTTTTTCGATTCAGTTGGGAAGGGGGTGGTGGTTGGGGGGTTGTCATCTGGTTGTTGTTGTCCAAAGTCATGTCGACAATAGCTTTAGCTTTGCTTCTGACACTTGGTAAATGGCGCCCGCCCGCTGAGCGACTGCAGCCAACATTTAGCTCTCATCCTCCAGTCTCCATCCTCCAGTCTCCAGTCACAAGTCCCATCCCTGTCCCTGGCATCTTGCATCTTCCGTTTCCTCTCTTCTCTGCCATATGGGTGGGACCCGTAGTGGGCGTGGCTGGTTGGGTCACTTGTTTACCGCTCCACTTACGCGTCGCACTCGAGAGGAGCGCTGCCGGACACATTTCCTGGCCCCCACACCCAGCCTCATAGCCCATAGCCCAACCCCCTGCTCCATCTATCACTGCCTTGACCCCGCCCCCCTTGCTGGCTGGCAATCCTTTCGATCCTGCATCCAGAATCTGTTCCGGTTCCTGTCCCTCTGCCTTTTAAATATAAATTGTGCCAAAGTGCAAAGTGCACGGAGGAGGGCCACACCGAGTGCAGTGCAGCAAAGCCAGAGGGAGGGAGGCACATCCTTATGCTGCTGCTGCTGCTGCTCCTCCTCCTGGCCAGGCCCCTCATCAGCATAGTCTGCAGATAATAATTTATCATGTGCGTGTCGGGGATGCTTGACACAGGATTTGCTGTTGTTGTTGCTGTTGCTGGGCGCATGTCAAGTTAGGATGCCAATCGATGACAATGGGCATGACAGGACAGGCCAAGCAGACAGGCAGGGAGGCAGACAGGCAGGCAGGAAGACAGGCAGACAGGCTGAGGCTCAGGCGTCAAGTATTGAACCAAGATTGTTGGCAATCAGTGGGGCAATCAGTGGCACATTTATGTACACAAATCTCAGCCGCAAGCGGAAAGCGGATATTGATACTCGAGTGCTGTGGCTGCTGGCTAATCTAACTGGTAATTAATTATGATTTCGCTGGCAGAAATGGCAGCTAGAAGTGCTAGAAAATGCCCAGCATACTGGGAGCGAGCCAAGCAGCCAAATATTGCAGCGAAATCCTAGGCATAAATTCCCTAAAATATCACCCAAAACAAGTGCAGATAATCATCATCCCATCCGTGGCCATTCATCAGCCAGCAGCAGATGATCCACAGAAAACCTTTTCACTTTATTTAGAGCTGCATAACTTGTCGTCAGAGTCGGTGGCGGAGTCCCTGGCCATGTCAGGGCCCTTGACCCGAGACCTCGTTCCTCCTGCCTGCCTGCCCGCCTGCCACCCACTTCTGCCCACTTTTTTTGGGGCAGCACAGAAAAGGAGGAGGAGTGCACAAAAATATTGGCCAGCATAAATCTTGGCGGCAAGTAGTAAATTTTCATTTTCACACCTTTCAACACTTTTCACGCTAACACAACCAGAAGGAACATTTTGCTGTCAAAAATAGAAAGGAAGCTGGCAAAAAAGGGACAAGGAGAGAGAGAAAGAGAGAGGGAGAGTGGCAGGGAGAGGGAGAGTGGAAACTCCTCTCGTTCTCTGTCTCTGGGCCCCCCCCCCCTGACAGGCAACACAAATACTGTCATATGCAGTGGGGGGGGGGAAGGAGGGAGGTTAAAAAAAGAAATGGTCCAAGAGCCCAAACCGTAGTCCGTGCCCCGTGCCCCATGCTCGACGTCGTCGTCGTCGTGTCCCTCTACAAGGAGCAGACAAAGTGCCTCTGAGCGTAAATAAATTGGAAATGTCCTTTGCCCTGGCACTGACTGGCGTTGCCCTGTCCTGCCATGCCCATGCCCCATGGCCCAGCCCTAGCAGCTCCGCTCCGCTCCGCTCCACTGTGTGCTGGGTGCAGGGGGTAGGGGCAGGGGCAGGCAAGGTCCTTCCGTGCAGTGTGCAATGCGTCGTGCCACGTCGGACATTGGACGAAGGCGATGCTTCCATTTTAATATTA